ATAAAATAAAATAAAATAAAATAAAATAAAATAAAATAAAATAAAATGAAACGGAATGATGAAATAAAATAAAAAATAAGTTAAATAAAATAAGATTAATAAAAAAATCAAATAAAATATAGACAAGAATATAAAATAAAAAAGTTAACAAAGATTAAAATAAATATCTTAAGTAAAATCAAATAAAAGGAAATTAATTACAAACAAAAAAATTACATGAAAAAATACTTTAGTTTTAAATAATTAATAAAGAGTTACACATTTTTTACTTTCAGTTCGTTGGATTTATATTTGCTTGCTGTTTGGCGAATAATATTCGCAACTACAGACGTCGCTCGGCCTATTGAGCGTAGTGAGCGTGCTCTACAAAAATTCGAATAATTTTGCAAATATGTGTGTATTAAAAACAGCAAAAATGGACGTAAAATTTATGATGAATTAAGGCAATGAAACCCCCTCGAATTTTACAATTAATGTACAATAAAATGAATTTTTCTATGTTAGTGATTTCTTAAGCACAACAAAAAAGAAATAATTTAAAAATACATATATTTTCACATAGTATATACATATGTACATATCGCACGTTTAAAAATATACAGATTTATTTCGAAATTTCAATTTTGATTTACATCTCTACATTATTAAACGTGCGATATATACATATGTATGTATACATATGTATGTATCTTAAAAATTTTGAAAAAAATTCAACCGAAATCTCGAATATATGTAAGCATGAGTTAAAATCATCTACAAAGTAAATTTGTATAGATATCGAATCAGGACTCCATACTACAATGTAAAGATATAATTATAATAAAATGTTTTGTAAAATACTTATGTATCTTTGCACATGCTAAGTTTTTTGTATTAAAAATTCATATTTCTACAAATTAGTTTACAATACCTTTATGCATGGATGTATGTATGTATTATGCTCAATGTCGCAACGTCCTGCCTTAAATATTTATACATGCAAGTACATGAATAAAATTTACAAATTTGTACAAATGTATGCATAAGGTACTTATATAAGCCACATCACGATGATTATTAAGAAATAAATTTGTTTAACAATAATATTATATATAAATACGAATTATTTTTTGAGCACCGAACGATTGTGTTAGCAAGCACTATGTATGCTAAATATTTAATAATAGATCGCCGCCAAAATAGGGTAGAGAGTATCGGAAAACTGCCCAGAAAACCTGGAAAATATCGACGTACAGTGGTCGGAGAAGCCCTATTTTCGCGACAAAGGCATATTTTAAAACTGGGATAAATTTACCGGAATAAAGCTATTAGTATTCATAAATGTCCAAGGAACTCAAAACTGATTAGTATTTTCAATAGTATCTGCTTAGCAAGCCGTTTAATCCGCTTAATTCAACGAATTCCATCGTCGCACGATCTAACAGTTATAAGTTGATAGTTTTCTTAAATTTTCTTTTATGGAAACTTTCAATTATAACAGTAATTGCTGGTTTGGTGTTACTTCTTAAACATGAAAAATTATAACTTCATAAAACTTGGTTGCTAAATTATCGACACCGTAATAATACGGCTTATTTTTCAAGAAATAGTTTCTTCAAAAAGGGATAACTAATGAGTAGGACCGAGTAGAATCTTCATTCCTTTACCAAGAATGAATGCAAGGGCCCCTTAAGGATCTACGAAAAGAAAATCTGCGCATACTCGCGCCAATAAGAGTGGCGGCCATTTTTATTTCACTACACCAACTTTAGCAGTTGTTCCAAATAACATAAAGTGCATTAAAATATTACAGATTAATGTAATTTATTCCATATTTAGCTTCATATTATTTATAAGATGTGTCTTAACAAACCCGAAGTCAATTTTCGAAAATCCAATAGCGAATCCAATATGGCGTTCAAGAACTCAAAAAATTACTGAATTTTCGTGAAATTTGGTATTTACAGGTTTTACAATCATTACAAATTTCAAACTAGTTTACGAAAATTCAAAATGCAAAATCCAATACAGCGTCCGAAATTTCCAAAAATTCAAACATGAATAACTTTATTTAAAAATAAGAAAAACGAAGTTTTGCAAATGACAAATTTCGTATAAAATAAAAAAATTAAAAAAAAAAACTGTTGAGGCCTGGATCAAATTGTTTGGGCTGAACATAAAGCAGACGGCCCGAACTATATCTAATTTATAAATATAATTACTGTTATTATTTCATAATTTTATCATAAATTCATTTTAGATATGTTGGCTCGTATATAATAAATCAAACTTTGCTAAACAAATATATTGTGATACTCAACTGAAAATGACAGTTCATTTGGCAGTTGTCAACCGAAAAAGTTTGAAAGTGATATAGAACTTGGGATCAGTGAGCTTTAAAACATAATACGTTTAATCTTTGGGAAATGTTCCTTATTTCTAGAGAAATTGACAGCCCCTTCGACAGTTGTAAGCTCTTAAGGTTATAATTTGACGTAAATTAGTTAGCATCTTAAAAAAAAATATTTGCTTATTCTTAGAAAAATTAACAGTTTATTTGGCAGCTATCAACTCTTAAAGTTTTACGTTGACAAAACATTCGTGATCTGCATGTCTAAAAACCTAATCAGTGGAATTTTTAAAAATATTGTCGATTTGAGAGCTGTCAACTGTCAAACTATAAATTTTATGACATTCGGATAGCATTACAACAGTACTACGATCCCGCAGTTTTATTATACTCGTAAAAGCCATTCTAATTTTTCGCGTAAAACATGGCTTCTACGACCACTGTGCGACGCCTAAAAAATAATCTATGTTCATATAAGTGTGCCCAATAATCATAAGCCTCAAATTAGCACTGCTATGCTCAATAATTACCGTCTTGTGCTGGTGTTGAGAAAAACAACAGATTTAGGGCCGGTTGCTCAAAGTCTGGTTGACACTAATCATCGGTTAACATATTTATCAACGTTTTCGACCCCATGCATATAACACGGGGTCGGTAACGTCGATAGCTATGTTTAACCGGAGATTAGAGTTAACCAGACATTGAGTAACCGGCCCTTAAGGAGTTAGAAGCTCCGGTTAAATACAACAACTGCTTTATCGATCACAGGTTGTATGCATGACGACAAAACCGTCGATAATGATGTTTAACTGGGAGGTAGTGATAACCAGATATTGAACAACCGGCCCTAAATGAGGAAGTGCACATTGATAAAAAGTAATCACAGTTATTCTATGATTTTCCGCACATATAATTTGTGCTAGTAAATATTTTTTTTAATCCAAATGGCGAATTACCCAGAGCTATTGATTTCTGCTTACAACTTAGGTCCGGTTGCTCAAAGCCTGGTTGACACTAATCATCGGTTAATATCGTTATCGACGTTTTCGACTCCATGCATATAACATGGTGTCTAATAGGAGGTAAAAGTTTTGGTTAAATACTGCTTTATCGATCACATGTTATATGCATGATGTCGAAAACGTCGAAAATGATGTTTAACCGGCAAGTAGTGATAACCAGACATTGGACAACCGGCCCTTAAAATTCAATTCTCGAAAAAAAACTTGAGCACTAATAAGCAATCAAGATTGATTGCAACATCAAAAGCATTTACTTACTAAATACTCTGACAAGCATGCAATAAATAAAATTTTACTAGAATTAAGCAATTGATAAGTTTTTTTTCAATTTGAGTAAGTATGCATGTGTGCAAGTAAAATTATTTAAATAAAATTGTCAATTAGGTTGGTATATGTAATTAAATCATACATGTACATTGGGTTGCGAAATTCTACATACATATGTATGTATGTATGTACATACCAAATTTTTTTCGTTTAGGATGACAATTACTCAGGGTCAGCGTATGGTTAACTTAAAATTGGTTAGTAAAGGTGGACTACTTTTCTCACGAGTTCACTCGGTGACATCTAGGCCAAAAGAAAACCATTTCTCTAAAAAATTGTTTCCAACATGTCCATCAGTGCCGCATTGGTCCGGGACCACGAAGAAAATGAGAAATCTTCGTAGTGCGAGGCATTTGCACAAGAGGTAAATAAGGGAATCTACCATCGGAATGAATATCGCTTTACGAGGCTCCGGACCTGTCAGCCAACTGGTCCCTTATGAAGCTGCTGTTAGATCTAATCTGGACTTTTCCTTAATTTGTAAGAGCAATGATCTCAGAGAGGATTGTTTGCCTGGAGAAAAGAGGTGTACCTAAAAGCCTTACCTGTACCTTGAAATTAATAAATGTTTTTACGCATTTCTTACAGAAATACAAAGGGAACATGTCTGTACTATGCCATCCTCTACACAATTTTGGGATTTCACTAACATGATTACGCAGCTTGACGTTGAGCATAACATCTGGCTCTGATCGCATTGGGTATAATCTCTTCAAGCCCTTCAAGTATCTTCACGCTTCTGAAGTATTTTTACGCAAACACTTACTATAGCTATAAGTCAGGATCGCGCATTCGTTTAGTGTAAGATGCTTCTGGAAAACGCAGATGGCATTGATACATTTGGCCTTACCCGCAAAACCCTTTAGCGGTGAAGGGGGCAACGGCGAAGTACTCCCAAAATAAAAGAATATCAGCTTATTGGGAGGTCATATCATTGTTGGAAGCTCATGATATCGAAGGTGTAGAGAATTTTACTTACTTATATAGGCATCAACATGCACCAATATTACATCTACTAATGTTAACCAGGGTTCTTATCCACCAGTGCTAATTTGGGCTCGGTCGAAAAAAAAAAGAAATCAGGCTTTCAATAATCTCTAATAATTCTTGTCTTTAATATAGCGCAGATATGTACGTGGACGATGCCTTACACAGAAGAAATAACAAAGTTATGTACCTAAGGTCTTTAGCTCTTGCGAGTGAATGACAAAACTAAGGATCTATCTGCAATTGGTTGCCATTACTAGGAGAACTATGAAAAGGAGGAAAATATTCCTTGTAAATATACCTTAAATGGGGTAATTGTACCGAATGTACTTTAAAATTAAAATAGAGCTGAAAAAAATACAATTACACCCACTTTTCCATCACTAGCATGGACGCGGTTTTGCAGGTCTTGAAGCTAACCCATTTCTCGCGCATTCGTTCTCTTACACATTTCTAGAAACACCTTAATACTACTTAGTAGATATTTCGAATATGATTGATCACATCCAGACTGTCTATAACAGAAGTGAGTTTTGAAGTCCATTGTGCTTACCAACTTTGAAATGATCGCAGCCTGAAAACTATCAGGTTTGTTCGTCGAAAATCCAGCAAGGATTATCTATTGCTCAAAATTCTCTCTCAAATAAAACAAATTGCTAATTTCTGCTCGAACGAAAATGTGCAGGAATTTGCAAGTTTCACTGCCAGCAGGTGCCCACGATTGAATTTCACGCATAATAAATTCTTATAGAATTCTTAAAATTGTTAATGATCTACAAAAACAAGATATACATGTATATTTCTTGTTATTCCGACTTTCTTTAACATACAAGGTAAATAAGTGCATACATTTGATTTTTTTTGTCGTAGTAACTGTCGCATTTCCTAAATTCTCTCTGTTAAGTAAACAAATATTTACTTACATATTTGATTAGAACTTACAGGATTTTCCACAAACTTGCAGGAAGTTACAGGAAAAATGATCCCGTACTCCAAATTCCTACAAAATTCAGTAAATGAGAGCGATTTTTGGAGAGTTGTGTAGAGAATGAAGTTGCAAGATTTTACCCGAACTTTTTCTTATAGTAGAATCACGAAAAGTGTCAAGCGATCAGTGGTTGACGTTTTTAGAGGAAAAATGCCTTTTTTGTTCCCGTACTTTTTACGCTCACTTCAGAAAGTAATTTTGCTGTTTGACATTTTTACAGCATTTTATACGAAATGTATTGGATCAGAGCTATTATTTAGTCTGTTCCTATGAACTTCGGACTAAAACCTGTGGAACTGTCAAACTACAATTTTACTTTCCCAAGTGAGAGTAAAAGGAGAACAGATGCAGAAGTGCACGGGAACGCAAAAAGCACTATTTCCTGTAAAAACGTCAGTCGGTTTGTTGACATGTCATTGCTACAATACTGATTTG